ATGGCGTCTCATCTTCTCTTCAACCTCTGGAATGCGGTGTCCCACAAGGCTCTATTCTGGGACCCATATTTCTTTTATACACTGCACCAATTGGTGATATTATGCGGAAGTGCAACATTAACTTTCATCTATATGCTGATGACACACAAATCTATTTCGCATTTTCTACATCTTCCTCAATTGAGCTCAATACAGCGAAACAGCAAATTGAGACCTGTGTTTCAGAAATTGATAGATGGATGACTTGCAACAAGCTGAAACTAAATAAGGACAAAAGTGAAATTCTTGTTTTATCAAACCCTCGTCGTCCTCTACCACCCATTGTATCTCTTGAAATTTCGAACACTACTATTACTCGATCTACATCTGCTATCTGCTCTTAACATTGGTGTCATCTTTGATGAGACTCTGTCATTGGAAGATCAGATACTTTCTGTGTGTAAGGCCTGCATTTTTCATAATCATAATATTTGGAAAATTAGAAAATACTTGAGTCGTAAATAAAGGTTCAAACGCTAGGACGAGGTTTTGCATTAGAATTCAAGACAGAGGGCCGCAGGCCCGAGGTTTGAATTCTAATGCAAAACCGAGCCCGTGCGTTTGAACTGGTTTAAAATATCAACTAAGCCCTAAATTCCATTGTTTCGATGCAAAACACGAAATACTAAATTATAATGAATTCAGAGAGATAGATTACTGTTGCTTTGTTCTTTTGGAAATAGAGTACAATACATGATCCGCGTTTGCACTCTATTGTTCCGATAGAAATAAAAATAATATTGTTTTCATACCTTGCGTTCTATCGGGCAAGTATAAGGAAAAGTAATTAAAAACCTATCCCGGGTTTATAATTCAGCCTCGCTCTCCCCTGTTGATGTCAATTCCGCCCCCGGCTTTAAGAATCTGGGTTTTCCGCCGAATTTAAGAACCTACATCAAACAATAGATTTAGGGTGTGGTTGATTTTTAATGCATGTGAAACTCTTGTCYATGCCCTCRTATCTTCGAAACTTGACTTCTGTAATTCTTTACTTTATGGTCTTCCCAATACTTCTCTCCAAAAATTGCAACATGTACAAAACGCAGCTGCTCGACTTATTACCTTTYCAAGAAAACAAGATCATATTACTCCCATCTTATATGACCTGCACTGGCTACCTGTAGAACAGCGTATATATTGTCGTTAAGATTCTACTACTCACTTTCAAGGCTTTACATAATCARACTCCTTCCTACTTATGTGACTTGTTGGTTCCTTTTTTTCCATCACGTTCCTTACGATCAATTTCTCAACATCTCAACATCTTTAAGTAAAGCAATCTTACAACCTGAAACAGTATGGTAGAAGAGTCTTCTCTACTGCGGCTCCTGAACTATGGAACAATCTACCACAGA